AGGCCTGCCGGGTGTAGGTTTTCCCATTTGTGCTGTTGGCATGTGGAGCAATTCTGGACAAAATCTCGAATAGAAGTCTTCATACCTCGCCAATGGAAATCAGTCCGGACGCGGTGTAGTGTTTTTTGAATGCCCTCGTGGGTGGAGTTATGGATGCTGGTGATGATGGTGGGGATCAAYGGGCAGTYTGGTGGAAGATGGACTCGTCCCTTATACAGTACCAACCCGTCTTGAAGTGACCAATTGGGGTCGGCGGTGCTGGACTGGATCTTCTGTAGCAAGAGCAACCATTCCGGGGACTGTGGTGCTGCCTTCTTAATGTCGTCGAACAGAGAGATCCGAGGTTGGGAAATGCTACACAGAACCATCGCGTCTTCATCTCGCCTAGACAAGGCATCAACTACGCGATTTGAGGATCTCGCCTTATATTCCACCCGGAAGTCAAACCCGAGTAGTTTGCTAACCCAATGCTGCTGAGGGGAAGTGGTGAGACGCTGCTCTAACAGGTATTTGAGACTGTAATGATCAGTTTTGACGATGAACGACCGCCCCCACAAATATGGCCTCCAGTGTTGGACGGCTCGGGCTAGGCCAATTAGTTCACGCTCATAGGCTGGAAGCTTCAGGTGCCGGTCGGCCAGTCTGCGGCTGAAGAAAGCAATCGGGTGCCCTTGCTGCTGTAGTACGGCCCCGATACCCACTCCGGAAGCATCACACTCGACTGTAAATTCGAGGGCGAAATTAGGTAATTGCAAGACAGGGGTGGAAGACAGGGCATTTCTCAGTGTTAGGAAAGCTTCATCAGCTGCGTCGTCCCACCGGAAGGAATTTCTCTTCAACAGGTTGGTTAATGGGGCTGCCAACACTCCATAGTTCTGTACAAATTTGCGGTAGTAACCCGTTAAACCGAGGAACCCGCATAAGGCCTTGGCTGATTGAGGTTTGGGCCATTCTTTTATAGTCTGAATCTTGGAACTATCAACTGTCACACCCTGACATGGCCGAGATAAAGAACCTATCGCTCCCCGAAGGAGCACTTGGACCGTTTCAGGAATAATTTGTGTTGGCGTAGGAGMTCGAAAACGGTCCTCAGATGGTGGACATGCTCTACCCATGAATTGCTGTAAACGAGGATATCATCAAAGAAAACTAAAACAAATTTGTGCAGATGGGGCTG